ATTAACTCCGGCTACAGTAAAAAAGACCTCGACCCCGAACATCCACCCTTTTACTGTAACCGTCTTGTCCATAGGGTTCAACGGGGGCGGGTTAACGGGCTTGATCTTGATCGTCGTTACTGCAACTGGCGTTGCTGCCGCTCGCTGCCTGTCCTCCTCTTCGAAGTCACGTGTGAGCGCATCCAGCGGATTGCTCATCGCCTGACTGTTGCCCTCGCCTTCGTCCACAGGCGACTCCTGACGCGCTTCACCTCGCGTCTTGCGTAGCTCGGCGTTTTCCTCTCGCAGTGTTGTCACTTCTGCCATTAATGTCTTCATGCTCTCCTGCATTTCTGCCACTTGCGCCATCATCCTGTTGACCGCCTCCTGATCCATGTGCCTAGCGCTACGTCTGGTGGGCAATCGGGTCTCCGTGGCCTTCAGGCAAGTGAAAACACGAACTATCGGAGTCGGGCAGGATTGAATCAACAATCTCTGCAGCCAACCGCCGTGTAGTCACTAAACCAGCCACACCCTATGCCACCAAACTACCCTCGGAAAAGCGGGGTGAACTAGGAAAGTAGCTCTGATACCAGGTGTTATGAGTTGTAAAAGAGAGTGCGCAGGTAAACGAATAACGCGACTGTGACTAGATGAACTGAGAATACAATGAATGCACAGACTAATGTAGGGCTAGTCTAGCTAGGAGGAAACCTCGGACGAGCGAGGTTGGGTGCAGGTTTGGCGATGGAAATGCCGAAGGCGACGCGAGGAGCCTCGGCAGCGTTGAAATCGGCGGAACGTGCGAACTCCGAAAATCGGGTTGTACGCGAAGCAGTCAACCCCGATAAGGAATTCAGGAAATTCCTTACAATTGTTGTTTGTAAGAAGCAAGCCTACAAATCCAAATAACCAAATGTGTAACCAGTAACGCATTTATTTTGCAAGCAGCTAACGAAGATCGTTACCCAATCAGTTTCACCTGTACGCGAACTGTGTGGCATCCTGTGGTTTGATGACGTTGGCCAATAAGGTCTATTGGTCCAGGCAATTTCGATTGGCTTACGACTTTCAGTTCCATCACACAGGAGGGAATGAGTGCCTGACACGTGTATTGGAAGGTCGAAATCATATTCATAGCTACGCTGAAGTAGCTTTGAGAGTGCTGAGATGTGCGGCACAGATTAGAATTCCGTGTGCTGTGGAAGCGAAACCACAACCAAAGTCACGCTGAAGTAGGTTTCACATTTTTGAGATGTGCAGCACAGATTCGTCGCCACTTTTTCCCTGATGTGTCGCGAGCTCAAGTGCAACTTCAATGTAAGTTTGCCAGCAACCCCAAGGTAGCTCACTCCAAACCAACCACACAACTACCGCAAACTTGCTTCGCCGTAACTTTCAGAAGCTCGATTTTTTGGGATGTTTTCTCCCTCGCTCCCTCCCCCCTTATGCTACATGTCACACTCTCACAGGTTATGGCGAGATGCTGAAAGCTGGGCACTACACGCGCAGCGCATGCACCACCATTTCATCGACTTTAGCTTCGCCACCAACAGGTAGCCGAGCAGGTGCGTCCTGCTGAGAGCACACACGGTGTCCTGCTGAGGTGATGTATCGTTGGGTGCTGCATGGCTGGGTGGCGTTACACCCATGGCATGGCTGGCCGTCACCTTCCCGAAAACCTCATCGGAATTCGGTCGTCAGAGCGGTTTTGCCAGTGTCGTCGAAGGGGGCCGTCGGAGCCGAGAATGACGAGGCGGGCGACTGACGCACGTGCGGGCCCGCCATCCTGGCCCAGGGCTGGGCCGAGCGTACGACCGCCGCCCAGCAGCCCCGCTTCGAAAGTGAACAGCGGCCCACGTTACCGGGTGGGGTCGGCGAACTGGCGACAGCTCGCGCGAGGGAAAGTAACCCTCGTGCGAAGGCAGCCCAACCGTGCCACCTGCCCGCGAGGTCCTAGTAACCCATCGCGGCCTGACCGGACGGGCAGGCGAGGGCCGGGCGAAAAATCGGGGCCCCCTCGGGACACTCGACAATTTCGCGACCCGTTGCGGTCGCGCCACATGTTCATCCGTGGCTTCGCAGCGCACGCATGCGAAATTTCGGACGATGTGAAATCTCGCATCTACCACCGCGATCCGCTACGAAAATCGACATGTGTCGGCCCTAGAGACGCTCCGCGCGCATGCGAGTTGTGCGTCCCCTCGCCGACCTGGGCCAATGGACGCGAGGTCGTCGCTCTGCAAGGGCGGAGTCGTGTCAGATATAGTAGGAGCACGGCCTAGGCTTAGTAGCCTAGGCCACAGTAGGACTAGAGCGAGGAGGCGCCAAGTACGAGCTAGGTTGTGTGAAGGAATGAAATTGAGAAGGGAATGATTGAACTAGCAAGCAGCAGGATACAAATAGCAAGCCCTAAGGGGCTGTACTCACTATTGAGTGCCCCACTGCAGGCTACACAAACAGCATATTCTGACACACCCCCATAGCCAAAGTGGGGTGTAATCAGCACAGTAAGCAAAGCAGAACAAGCTCAGGGTGGATCACAATGTCACCACACATTCTAAGCACAATTACAAGAAGCAACAGTTTAAGGTTCACAGTTATGAGCAAAGCTAGTGGTAGTCACAACGAGCAAGTGAGGAGGAGGAGGGACTGTGAGAGGAGAGAAGATGGGAGACGACGGCTGAAAGTGCAGACACACGGGCAACAGGAGCGGCTGGCACAGTGGCTACCGGGACAGCGCCCCGGACTACTGGAGTAACTGGCTCACGGGCTACGACGAGCTACAGGAGCAACGGACCCACGGGCGACAGGCGCAGCAGGCTCTCTGGGCTACCAAGATAGCGCCCCGGACTACAAGTGCTGCGGACGACTAGACGACAGCCTCCTCTCAGCCTCCCCAAGCAGTCCCACACCCCCCTACACACACCCCCTGTTTCACCCCTAGCTCCACTCCCACATCACCCCCATAGCTCAACTCCCCACATCACCCCTATAGCTCCACTCCCACAGCTCCCACACCTCCACCCCCCTCAGCGGCAGCTGCAGCAGTGGGAGATGAAAAAGGAGGAGGGGAGAACCCACTCCGCTCACCCCCATGCTTGCCACCCCACACCCCCACCACCGCGGAACGCACGGCGGAATGGGAGCAATGGGCAGCACGGGGGGGGGGAGGGGGCGGTTGCTGCAGGCACGGGCTGCTCCAGGGGCTGCTGCTGCAGGTGCGGGCTGCTCCAGGGGTGGCCGCTGCAGGTGAGAGGTAGGAGGAGGTAGGAGGAGTTAGGGGGAGGGAGGGGCGCCCCGAGGGGCGACGAGCAAGGAGCCGCGCGCCCCCCCCCCCCCCCCCCCGGGGTGCCAGGACGGGCACCAGAGAGGGCGCCGCGACGTTCCTCCAGAGCCGCCTCGACGGGCGACGGGGAGGGCGCCGCGCAGGCCCCCCGAAGTCGCCGTGACGGGCGACGGGGAGGGCGCCGCGCGGGCCCCCCGAAGTCGCCACGACGGGCGACGAGGAGGGCCGTGCACGGCCCCCGAAGTCGCCTCGACGGGCGACGGGGAGGGCGTCGCGCACGGCCCCCAAAGACGCCTCGACAGGCGACGGGGAGGGCGCCGCGCATGGCTCCCGTGGTCGCCACGACGGGCCGACGGGGAGGGCGCCGCTGACGGCCCCCGTGTCGCCACGAAGGGCGGCGGGAGGGGAGGCCGCGCGGGTCCCCGAGGTTGCCTCGACGGGCGACGGGAGGGGAGGCTGCGCGGGTCCCCGAGAGCGCCTCGACGGGTGCTTCGACGGGAGGGGACGCGGAGGCCCCCCCAAGGGCACCACAACGGGCGCCACTGAAGGGAAACCCGCCAGGCGCCCCGAGCGCGCGGCGGGCAGAAATTAGGGTTTACCCGCCGCGCACCACGGGGCGCGCGGCGGACGGTAGGGCAACGGAAGCAGGTGGTGGGCCCATACGCAGGAAGGCGGCAGACATGCCGCCCTCTGATACCATGTCAGATATAGTAGGAGCACGGCCTAGGCTTAGTAGCCTAGGCCACAGTAGGACTAGAGCGAGGAGGCGCCAAGTACGAGCTAGGTTGTGTGAAGGAATGAAATTGAGAAGGGAATGATTGAACTAGCAAGCAGCAGGATACAAATAGCAAACCCTAAGGGGATGTACTCACTATTGAGTGCCCCACTGCAGGCTACACAAACAACATATTCTGACAAGTCGGACCACCTGTGCCACTAGCGCATGCGCCCTCCGAGCCCTGCCGAGCTAGGCCCCACACCCTTGGGCGATGCTGAACGGCCCCACCCCCTTTTCATTGCGGAAGGTGGCTTCGCTCCTCATTTTCTCCTTTTCTCATTTTCCCAGACAGCTCTGCGCCTCCCCCTAGATCCGTGCTATCGTACCTTAGTCGATATGGAGCCGATCCCTGACGCCGAGAAGTCGGCGCCGACTTGGGCTGACTTTCCCCTTAGACACCGAATGGGTCGCGGTCTCAGCTTCACCTTCGAGTGGGACGACTTCGCCGCCCTTTGCGACCAGAAGAAAAAGTTCACCGACAGATGCTTGGGATTCGCCATCAGGTGGGACTCGAGTAGTCGCGATTGGAGAATAGGGCGGATATCGGCGCCGACTTCCTCTAGATGGGCGCATAAAGTATATGTCGGCGCCGTCGGGGGCGGATTGTCGCAGATTGTCGCGACCCCGTCCATGGACGTCGGTCGGCATAGCAAGCGTCGATCTGGTAGCGTTTGCTTACCCGCCATCCCATCATCCCTCATGCCCACTCGTGCGCCCAGGTAGGCTTGGTTTCGCAATGAACTGAACGACCAGAAGTTGTGGGTAATCGGAGTCGGCCCGCTTCGATCGGCCTTGAAGGCCGTAGATCATTCTTGCTTTGCTACGGTTTTCGACGCCGACATCGCCGCCATCCCGTTAAGCACGACGTGAGCTGTTTCCCCGTTGTCCAGTTATCATTCTGTTTAGTCGGTCGCATCATCGCCTAATGTTGTGGTCGACGGCGTCGTGTATTGCATGTGCAGCGGCGGTCCGCTTCCAGGGTCACACTGCAGCGTCATAGCCATCCTCTACCCAGGAGATCTGCTGAAGGCTGAGGGACAGGTCTGCAGGACCTCGATCCGGCACATCGACCCGCATACCGGGAAACTGAAGCACCGCGACGAGGCCGCTCGCGTGCTGAAGTAAGTTGTGAATAGTCGTCGATTTCCCGCTTGTTAGTCGCCGGCCCAGGGTATCACATGCTGACCGCCTTCCTTTACCACGATGCTCCAGGCTATTCCGCACGGCAGTCCTGGCCGAGCTGGGGTGTCCCGGTAGGCAGTGGGACGGGGCATCGCCATCACAAGTAGTAGTGGAGGACAGACTTGCCGACTGCGACCACCCTATCCGCGACGTGAGTTGCACGTTGCACGTTTATCCATTAAGGAGGGTGCACGTTTCTGTATGCTCCGCTCACAGTGTTCTGCGCTTGCCGGTGTTGTATGTAGAAAGTGCCAGACACAGTGTCGGACGAGAAGGTCGGCACCGGCATGCTTGCCGCAACGTCGTTCAGGTGGGTAGCCAAGCAGGTTGACCTGCTGATGGGCGAGAAGGGTCGTGGTGCGGTGAGACTCGAGAACATCAAGACAAAGGGGCTAAAGTCGTTGCGAGACAGCATGATGGAGTACATCTGCAAGCGCATCGCCGAAAAACGCTCTGCGGCGCCGACATCACAACCCCCCGACAGTGTGATTGATGACGACGGCGCGGAAAGACAGACGGCGCCCCAAGCAGCAGTTGCCGGCCAGCATCAGGGGAACGCGAGGGTGTTCACGAAAGGAGGAAACGGTGGTGGAGGAGGCAACACTGCGACAGGTGGAGGAAGGAAGGAAGAGGAGGAGTCGGAGGAGGATTCGGAGTCGGAGTCGGAGTCGGAGTCTGAGGAGGAGGCGGAGAAGCGGAAGGACGAGGAGGAGGACGAGGAGGAGGAGGAGGAGAAGGACGAGAAGGATGACGGCGATGCGGAGGAGGAAGGGAAGGATGAGGAGGGGGAAGGGAAGGATGGGGAGGGGGAAGGGAAGGATGAGGAGGGGGAAGGGAAGGATGGGGAGGGGGACGGGAAGGATGAGGAGGGGGTGGAGGAAGTGGTGGAGTACGAGGTGGAGTTCGAAGAGGAGGAAGCTGCACTAGAGGCGGTGGGGTCGGTGGATGAAAAGAACGAGGAAGCGGAGGATGGCGATGCGGGTAATGATACGAGGTCGGCAGATGGGGGGAAGGAGAAGGATGAGGTCGGCGTGGAGGCAATGACGGAAAAGGGCCGGGAGGAGGCGGCATGCGAAGGTGGGAAGGTGTCGGTCAACGCCGGCGAAAGTGGCGAACACCACGGGCGTGCAGGAGACGGAGGACGCTTCTGGTTGGCAGGGTAATGAGCTGGACGACGTCGAGCAGGTGCGACGGGAGAACTGGCTGTTGAGGGCGGAGAACGCTCGGCTGGCGACGTTGCTCGATGCGGAGCAGGCTCGGCTGAACAGGTTTTTTGTTGGGATACGTGGACTCGTTGACCACGTGAAGGAGTTGGCCGAGCAGGTCGACGACACCGAGAAGTATGCGGCGGAACAGCTGCGAAACGCGACGGCGGCCACGTCGAAGACAATCACGGGCAACATCACCGGCAGCTTCGACGAAGCGTGGAAGACGATGAAGACCTTCGCGGAACAGGCGACAGCATGGTTGGAAGACTTCGACAACCCGCAGGGTCGTGTGGCAGTTGCACGCGCGGTAGCGGTCGACGCGTTGGCTGAGCATGTGACTGGGGTGGTGGGCGAAGCGCAGCGGGGTTTGGAGCTGTACATCACGACGCAACTATCCGCCGCGCAGGTCAACATCGCCACCGTTGTGACCACCAGTCTCCCCGTGCAGCCGCCGCCACCGCCTCCGCCCACGCCGCCCGCCCTCTTGGAAGAGCTCTTGAAGTCATTCAAGGCCGACATTATGAAGGCGGTGACGGAGGCCACCCAGCAGCCTTTCGTCGCTTCCGGGATGAAGATGATGGCCGAGATGGTCGGCACTGTGGCGCCTGGTCGACGTGGGTCGTCGCCGTCGGCCAATGACGCCGATCACGCGCAACGGAAGACGGCCGACAAGCAGGGCCTGAAGAGGACGGGCGACGGAGACGACAAGGAGAGCGCGAAGGGCGACGCAAAGCGGAGCAAGGGATCGGACGGGAGCCGCGGCTCGAAGCCTGCGCCACAGAGCGTGGTCGACCAGTTGAAGACGAAGGCGGGGTGGAGGGTGATAAGGACGTTGAACACCAAGGGTGGCGGAAGCGGGACGGCAGAGGGTGGCCCTGCCGACGGGGCTGCCGCTAACGTCACCGCTCAGCCAGGCCCGCCTTTGGTCGCCGAGAAGACCCATCCTCAGGCGAGCGGTGGGAAAGTCGTGACCGACAAGGAGGTCTAAACTGCTCAGGCGGCGGAAGATGGCGGCGCCGGAACCACCAAGGGACGGTCCGTCGCTGTGGCGGCCAAGGGCAAGACGAAGGCTGCTTCTGCTACGGTCCTCGGCACCACCAAGTGCCCTCCCCGTAACCCCCCCTGCGGCTACCAGCGCGCCTGCCGGCCAGTCAGGTGCGACCAAAGATGGGAAGGCCCGTGCGGCCCCTCCAGCTCCAGGAGCCCCGGCTGCCGTCAAGGGCGGCGCGAAGGCTGCTTCGGCTAAGGGCGCTACTCCGGCATCAGCTAAGGGGCCCCCCGGTGCTGACACGCTCAGGGAGATGCTCCACCGCATGGAGGCACATAGCAGGGACGTGCAGCAGCATCCCGTGGTCGACGCCGGCCTTGCCGGAACAGCACGTCGCTCCGTCACTCCGCAGGTTGCCGGCACATCGTCCGGGGCCTCACCTGCAGCGCATCCGGTTGCCGCCCCAACGCCTGCGGACTCCAAGTCAGCGTTTCTGCGCGCCCATTTAGTCGGACGCAAAGCGGCTGCTCCACCTGTGACTCAGCAGGAACACAGCAAAAGCGCGACGACGACGTCGGTAAACGCGACCGCACCCTCACCAGGTGCAGCTGTGGTCGATGCGGCGGCGGAGAGGGGAGTGAGTGCAGCGCTAGCCACCGGCGGCCGCCCCGACAAGCATGCCGCACTCGCTGCCTTCCTGGCCCATTTTGATGCAGCAGAACACCCTGAGCACGCCCCTGCTCTGGCCATCATGGACACGGCGCATGTGGGGCCGTTGGCGACCCACGGTGGGGGATCGGCGGAGCCGACGGCTGCAACGGGTGCTGTCGCCGAGAGTAATGCGGGAGGGCAGGGGAAGGTCGACACCGAGAAAGGGAGCGCGGTCTCAAAAGGGAGCACGCGGGCGATGTCGGCGGGGAAGGAGATGTCGGAAGAGAAAGGGAAGAAGGCGGAAGGGAGTCAGGACAAGAAGGGCGGCAAGAGTAAGCCGGCGAAGAAGAAGGAGAAGGCGGAGGAGGATGACGAGGAGGGCGGCGAGGGAGATAAAGAACGCAGGGGGCATGGCATCCGCCAAGACAGGTCCGGCGACGGGCATGGGTGGGTGGGCGAGATTAAGGTAAACGAACGGAATCGATATATCGGCAAGTCGAGGGAGAAGATGGAGCTGGCCTACGAGCACGCGATTGCGTACGTCGTCTACGATGGCTACGTGAGCAAGGTGCTCATGAAGGAGCTCACCGTCTTGAAGCCGGGGGAGTTGGAGAAATGGAAGGAGGTGTGGGAGGAGGTCAAGTTCTTACCGACTGGGTTGTGGACGGTGATGTGGGCCAGAGGCTTGTGCCATCCGAGAGCAAGGTAAGACGGCTATCGACGCGCCGAGTTCTGTCGACCATGTCGGTGTCATTACGCTGAAGTCGGTGTCGTTTTAATGTGTTTGCGCGGAAGGATCGACGACATACTCGGCAGGTACCGTGGGTACGCGAGGTCGGGTGATGCGCTTCATGGGGTGCTCTGGCCGGCGATATGGTTCCCCATCATCGAAAACACAGAGGAAGGCAAGGAGGAGACGGAGGCTCTCATGTCGGCGATGGTAAATCGCGTGTCGATGTGCGCGGCGTATGGGAAAGTCGCAGCGAGCGCGGCGTTTGGGAAGGTCGACGCGAGTGTAGAAGGGAATGCGGGAGAGAAGACAGAGATGGAAGGCACGGAGGGGAAGGCGGACGAGAAGACGGAAATGGCGGCCCATGCGTTAGCGGCATCTGCATGCGCCCTCTGGTGCTTCGTGGAGACGGGAGCGTCGTTGCTCGGTGCTGTGGGCGAAGGGAAGGCGGCGGCGATGGTCGCAGGTGCGGAGGAGGAGAGGGCCGAGACATTCAAGAAGGTGATGCACGCGGTGATCGACTTAGCACGCAGTCGGGAGGCTCCCGCGGGGGAGGTTGCCCATTACGTTGCGCCATCGCTGCAGCGCCACACAGTGGTCAGGGCCTTCGAGGAGGGAGTTGAGGAAGTCGAGGCCGACATGATCGCCAGAGCGACGGTCGAGACCTTGGCGTTCTGGGGAATGTGCCCCGTCGCCGGGCCCAAGCTAAAAGAGCAGGGCATCGATGTGCCGTGTGACGCGAAGATGGAGTACGATATGGATCACAGGGGAAGGAAGGGGGAGAAGGTCAAGCAGGGCAAGGGCAGCAAGAGGAAGAAGGGCAAGGAGGGCAAGGGCAGTACGGATGCGTAGTTGGTGGGCTGTGGTGTGCGGGATGCTATGGTATGGTCGGCGCCGATGTTGTAGTAAATCTAATGACTTTTTGATCGTAGGGCACGAATCTTTGCTTCACTTTGTGATGAACCTAAACCCTACTGTTCACATTGAAACTTGCTAGCCGTCTTTGAACGATGAGCCTTGTCCGCGCATCTGTCGACATCAATAAGAACATGCTACTCGACGACGAGCTATGACTAGGTACATGTCGACAGCCTAGCAACATGCAAACCTCCGTGACGTCGACATCTATCTGTGTTTTGATTAGTAATGAGCGACCAAATACATTTAATACGACGGGATCAAGTAGGTTCGCAATGGCCTTGCTGTGAGTTGTTACAAACTAGCAGAACAGCATTTGAAAAAAGAGGGGGGGGGGGGGGGGGGGGGAGGGGGGTTTAAAGTCTGCCACAGTTAACAGCATCGAACTACGCACACGCATATCCTACAAGCGCGCTCATGCCGACTTCTTCCGCTTGGTCGGAGGACGGTGCACCGGAGCGGTCGGCTTGGCCGGTGCTGTCGACTTGGCCGGTGCCGTCGGCTTCGCCAGGTCGGCCTTGGTCTTCGGCATCTGCTCCTCCCACGTGTTTGGAAACAGGGTTTCGACCCAATCACTCTGCTTCAGGTTGAGCGCCACAAGCACACAGGCGAGGCGTAGCTTCGAGACCACCTTGGGGCCCAGCCCCTTGACTCCCATGCCAGCCTCTTTGGACAACATCGGTGCCGTTCCCGGTTTGAGCACCGTGAGGGCATCGGCGAAGGTCCCGATGCCCGATGCCGCGATCCTGTGCAGTGTGTCGACCACGGCCTCGCTGTCGGCTTCGCCGTCGCTCGCGCGTAGCTGGCGCACCGCATCGATGACCTTCAGCATGCGGCGCACCCTCTTGTTGAGTGCACCCTGCGTCGCGCCGGCGAGGAGGGTGTGGCGGTCGATGAACCCTGGCTCGGCGATCCTGTCGCAAAGCCGACGGGTGTCATTAGTGGTGGCGGAGTTCCAGAGGCGCCAGGCGTCCCTCACGGTCTTGGCCTCCCGCCACGGTTGTACCACGTTGAGCTCGTAACTAGCCTCCTCGTCCGTCTATGGGGGTGGCGGGGGTTTGTCGTCCCCTCCGTCGGCGCCGGCTCCCATGTTGGCCGAATCCGCCGAGCCACCCTCGCTGGGAGATTCTGCGGTAGCACACGGCGGGGCCTCCGGCACTCTCCGTGCTTCTGACACACGGAGTGCCTCGGTGAGACGGGTTATCTCGGCGGTGAGAGACGCGATGGTGTCGTCGCGCTTCTCGAGCTCCTCCTAGAAGTCAATCTTCTCGTTCGCGGCGCGCTCGATCACCTTCGTCAGCGTCGCCTTGAGGGATATGTTGTAGTACTCGGTGTCCATGCGGATAGAGATTTCCTGTAGCGGTAGGACAAAGACGTTAGCCGCGAGGTGGTTTGGAATGCCCTACATCCAGCTCGTCGTCGACTTACCTCTGCCTGAATTTGGGTCGGGTCCCGACGCTTGTTGATCGTCTCGGTGTCGACCCTCTCGACCCGTTTTGCCCACTGCTGGAAGAGGGGGATCCGGTAGAGCAGGGAGCCTTGGACGCACCGGTGCCATGGTGTGCGGACCAGCTTCACCGCTAGGTCCTCGGCGACGATGCGGCGCAGCATCGCGAGTGTGCGCCAGAAGTGCACCGCGGCTTTGTCGGCGTCGGACCCCTCGGCAGCCTTCCCTTCCGCCTGCAATTTCGTCATATGTATTAGAAGTTCAGACACTGTCGGCAACACGACTCGGAAACAAGGATACGAGGGCATCGACTAACGTACCGTCTTCAGCATGTCGTCGACGCCGGGGAAGATGTGCTCGGCGAGGAGCTTCAAGAGCTTATCGGAGGGCTCCACCCTGCTCCGGCCCAAGAAGTAGTCCTGCTTGTAACCAGAGTAACCGGCCTTCTTCATCACCACCCCCACCGGAATGGCGGTGATGTACGCTCACGTCATCTTGTCGAGCGCCTCAGTGACCTAGCTCCGCGATCTCGGCGCGCGGCGTGCCGTCGATGGCCAGCTCCTGGGCCCCTCCCGCTCGAGCGGCGTGCATGTTCCTCTTGCAGAACACCCCGTTCTTGTCCCACAACTGCCGCGTCCAGCGTTGGTGGCTTGCCGCGGAGAGCTCCCCTTGGTCGGTGTCGTTTTTGGTAAAGAAGAGGTGCTTCTTGTACCAGCTCGCGCGTGTGCTGGTGTCCACCGGCGGAATGAGGCGGACGCCGTGAAACTGGCCGATGTGGTCGAGGATGAAGTGCAACCACAGGCCCGTCTCGCTGACGGCGCTCAACTCCGCTTCGAGGTGCCGAGCAGTCTAGCTCTGCTACAGACGCGCATCGTTGGACGTCTTCGAGTTCCGCGCAGCGATGACCATGACGACCGGCTGGTTCTCCGGGTTCACCGACGAGGTGCTCGCCAGTCGGTACAAGAATATGTCGGGGAGCGTGATCTCGCGGATGCTTGCCCCGCGCAGGAGAGAATGGTGGGAGAGTAGCGTGAGCACCTTCAACAGCAGAAACCGCCACAGCGTCTGCGACGGGCCCGTACCCCGCGGGTTCCAAGCCTTAGCCGCCCACGTCGGCAGCACCCTGAACATGATCTGGCGGAACTGTTCTGCGGTGTAGGTATCGCCAATGGTTCCGCAACGCCGATCGGTGCAGTTCCTGCCGACAATGCCGAGGGTAAGGGGCATTTAGGGAGACGTCGACACAGTACATGACAATAAGAGAGTGGTCGACAGAGGTTAAACAAAAACTCACTTGAGGTCCCGCTCGTTCTTGGTGCGGATCATGAACCGCACCTCCGACCTGACCACCGATATCTCACGCATGATGCTCAGCTCCGTCTCCCGGTATATCGTCGCCTCCACTCTCGCCGCCATCTGGCATGCCTTTATGCGCCCGAGGAGCGTGTGCACCGTTGTGGATTGCACAGGTTGTGTTCCTGTGGCGTTGTCGCCCTCCTTGCTGGACTCGGCATCGAGCTTCATCTCCCGAGCCATGTACTTCACGTATGCGCGAAGCCGGGACGTGGTGACCCTAGGGCCGTGCAGCCACACGTGCGACCGGGGGACATCGGCCTCTTGGTCCCAATTCTTGTTCTTGTTGTCCCGGATGTAGTGCCCTATCTTGTTGACGCGCTTAAGCCTGTACTCCTGGGGAAGCTTGTTGCGAATTTGCATCAACATCTTCGCCGCCCAACTCTTGTAGTGATAGATCCACGAGGTGTACTGCCTCAGCGTGCTGTTCCTCTCCACGGTCTGCAGGTGGCGTAGGGCGTCCAAGACGAGCACGTCGATGGTCGCGTACACCATGTCTTCCTCTACGAAGTCTGCCGCCCTCCACTGTTCACGCGGCACCGACAAATTCTCCTGGTCGGCATCCTCGTCCTGTTCGAGCAGGTCATCTATGTATTCAAGTTCCCGCCTGAGCCGTTCTTCCAAGGTGCGCTGACTAGTGCTACGCGGCGGACGCTCGTCGTTTTCGTCATCGCTTTCCTCCTCCTCCTCCTCCCCCCCATCCTCCTCCTCTTCGACCTCAACCTGGTTTCCAGAGCCGGCCGGTGCCGACGAAGTTCCTGGCCGTCCGTTTCGCGTCGGATTCTGTTTCTATTTCTTGTTGAAATCCCCGATCGGCGGTGGGGGAATGTCCTTGGTGAACTCCCCTTCCGGAATCTGCGTCAGCTTTTCAAGATCATAGAGTAAGGGGAGCGTCTCTTCCTCGGTAGATGTCGGACTGTGGTCGGTGGATGGTCTAGCGCCAGTCATGTCGACGTTGGCCATGTGGCAGCACGTATGTTGCTCTACCGTCGTCCGTTTGCGATGCGGAGGTCGGTAAACCAGAGACGGTACTGATTCACGGATGCGGTGAACGCGCGTAGAGTTCCGCGGCGGCGGACTTCTTCGAATTCTCGCTCAAGTGCGTCTAACTCGGCTTCGACCTTGAGCCGTTCTAACTGCGCTTTGATGTCGGCGTCTACAGAGTCGGCAGGGGGTGGAATGGGTTGCGGCTATTGTGCTCTAGGGCGACCTCTGGCCATGCGTCGTCGACTTGAACCGTCTACTGACCAAGTCGGCAACCGAGTACCCTACTGGCAACTGAAAATTCTAAGTGCACGAGAGAGCAGGAAGAAACGCAGGAACGGACATGGGAATGAGCAGGCCCGCACGGTCACGGACGGGTATGGTCCTGAGCGACTCCAACGCTGCTGCGATTCACGCACACCCCTATGCTCCTGCCGCCGTGCATGTGTTCTCGCATAGGCGGCGCACTGCCCGAAGTGCCACGCGCCAAGCATGGCTATTGTGACTTCGCGCTGCACCGAAGGGGCATAAGCCAGGCCCTTTCCACGGTGGAATGGGCGTGTGTTACGTGGCTTGGGGCCGACATTGGCCTCTTAGTACCGAAATTACTGCATGCAGGCTCGAATCTCCGAGGGTGCCGGAATTCTTGAATCCCACCGTGGCAGTCCTACCGTGGGCGCCCAAAGATCGGCGCCGACTTACATTCGGCGCGCTTGGCTGTTTCCTTAGGTTCATTGAACATAGATAGCGTTGGGATTGTGCCGCGTGGCTTGGTTGTGGGCCTGTGGATGTACTGGTAGACACCGACATCGCATGCAACACGCGATGCCACAGAACAGTTACATCCTGGACGGTCCGATTTTTGCCGCGTGGATCGAGCTGGCCCATTTTCAAAGGTGTGAATGTTTTCCCGCTTTGGGAAAATCACCGCTGGGGCGACGCGTGGCCACGACGGCCACGTCGTGGCAGCCTAGTACACGGTGGGGACGGTCCGGCTCCCCCCTATTGGTCCGTGTGGCGGCAGTCGCGGCTCGACGTGGCGAGCTCTCCTATTTTGTCCGCTGAGATTTACTTCTCAGGAATCTCCGAGCGCAAACCTATGTCGTCGGATTGTCGACATTCCCGAGGGCTCACGAGGCCCCTGGGACGCCATTTGGGCCCAGCTCGGAGCTCGGAGGTCGTCGCGAGCTCGTCAATCCCGAGGAGGGCCGTTGTCCCTTCTGAACCGCGAAATTGGGCGGCGTTTTTCGTCCGCTGAGATATATCATCCCGCGAATCTCAGCAGCACGCTAGACAGCAACAGTGCCGTGCGTATAGGCAGCATAGGTGCCTTTCCCCGCAGTACGACTTGCAGCAGCACGCTAGGCAGCACAGGTGGGAGCATCTGGACTCCACATGGCAGCAGCAGCAGGGGTTTCATCAGCAGGCTTTCGGCAGCAGCCGCAGCAATAGAAGCGGCATTGGCAGCAGAGGCGGTGATGACGACAGCCTGTTGCTGCCCGGGTTGAAACACATCGTGGCTGGCGTCCGCGAAAGGTGGCTCTGCATTCCCACGGGCTTCCACACATGCCTTGCTCACCCCTGCCTCCTTCAGTTCAAGCACCAGTCGTCCCAGCCCTTTCACCCCGTTCCTCTCTTACAATGCCTCTTACCCCATTCACCTTGCCCCGTCCCTTTTCCTGAATTCGTTTGAACCCGTGTCTGTCACCCTTGCTTCTCACCCCATGCCTCTCACATACCCGTATTCCCACCCGCATCACTCCCTCCCCCCGTTCCTCCTACCCCCTCCTCCATCCCCAATCAATCCTCTCCCCATTCCCCCATCTCCCTGTCCCCCCATCCTCCGTCCCCCCAGTGAACCCGGCAGTGTCCCACGCCGTCACATGCGTCTGCAGGTGGGGCTGCTAAACGCCGACGTGGTCGGCCCCTCACTGCCCAACTTGCTCGCCCTGGACATCGCCGGCTGCCCTCTGCTCGCTGGACCTAGAGACTACCGGCCGCCCCTTGCTGGCCTCGCCCGAACCCACGCGCCCATGTTGCCACTGCAGGCGCTCGGCGTGCTCTGCATGTCCATGGGCTTCCTCGTGCCTGCTCGCGTGGCCGCTGTGTAGCGCGGTGATCAAGGAGGGGACAGGAGGGGAGAAAATTGGAAGGGAGGGGAGGGGAGGGGAGGGGATGGGATGGGATGGGATGGGGTGTGTGGGGGGGGGTGGGGGGGGGGGAGAGAGATGGTTGTGGGGATGGGGTGGTTTGGGATGGGATGGGATGGGATGGGATGGGATGGGATGCGATGCAATGGGATGGGATGGGATGGGATGGGTTGGGATGGGATGGGATGGGATGAGATGGGATGGGATGGAATGGGATGGGATGGGATGGGATGGAGCAGGAGGGGAGGGAGGAGTTGAGATGGGATGGGATGGGATGGGATGGTATGAGGCCAGCACTATCGGAGGAAGAGGTGGAGATGGGTTGGTGCATGTGCTGGTGGTGGCCCCACTGAATGGCCACTGGGGAGGTGCAGCTGGGGAGGTGTGCTGTCACACCACACTGCCTGCCCCATGCTCCCAGCACTGCTGATGGTGTCAACACACCACAGCACCCTGCCCCCACGGATGCCTCGTGACTCGCACTCACTTTCTCATTTGCTGAATCTGCTCGCAGTCCTCCACCCTCCTCTCCTCCAATCGTCTCTTCCGTCTCACCCATCCACTGTTCCTTCCCCACCCATTCATCCACCCATGCCCCTCACCAGGAGCGGTGGTGGTATCGACGCCGCAGGACCTTGAACTGATGGTTGCGTGGCGGGGAGTGACCATATTCCGACGGCTCAAGGTGTTGGTGGGTCATGGGGTGGTGGGATGGTGGTTTGTATACAGTGGGGGTAATTATCTTCCAACAAGTCAACACGCCGGTGTGTTCTGTGTTGGTGTCATGGTGTGATGCTGGGTGTTGCAATGATGGGGTAGTTAGCGTTTTGGTGGGATTTATGTCTGACCAGTACTCTCCTCTCCTCTCTCACGCCTTTTTTACACATACTGAGCCACTACGCTTCCTTTTCTGGCTGTGCATGCTCCAATCCCACATGTCTTCATTCTGCTGCCTTTTCGTGGACGCCCCTCTCACATCCCACACCACTTGTTCATGACGACGTTCAGACGATGCGCTGTGGAAGGATGAAGATGCAGTGAGGTGGTGCAATACATTGCACAGCAGGGTCTAGGGGTGCACATGGTGGGAACTGATGGTGAGAACTGATTTATATCCAAATATTCCAGGGCTGAGATTTTTTCTCTTGTTGCTGTCCGCTATGCAGCATGTTGGCATGTAATGGCAATGAAACATTCAGTAATCAAAAGCCAAAGTATCCCACAGCATTAAATTTACCAAGCCTTAAAGCTCTCTCATCTGTGATTCCTCTGTCATAGTCCCTCTGTATTCTCCCTAAACCTCCTGCAATCTTTGAGCTACTGCGCACCCCTATCCTTCCCTCCCCTCCCCTCCGCCCCCACCTTCCTTCTCTCTTCCTTCCTTTTCTCAGCTTTGCCACCAACCTTCAAGCTTTCCTCACTGACGCTTTCACACGTATGCCTAGCACTGTCCTTGCGCCTGCCTATGCAACTGACCTCGCCAAACATCTTTCCTAACCTGCCTGCATATTTCCTTACCACCACTCTCACCGCAACCCTCACAATCACTCTCCTTGCCAATTTTTATGCGACCATCCTTGCTCCCAACCCCACTCCCATCCTTCCCATTCTTCTCCCCGCTGTTCCTGCCAGGGCATGTGAGCTTGTGGGAGGGCCAGTGCGCCTTTTGGCACTCTCTGCTGCAATACGCCACCTTGCCACACCCACCGCACCTCCTCAGCTTCACTCCGCCACCCTCCACCATCCCACATCCCGCAGCACCGCACACACGGCCTCGGACACCTGAAGCAGCAGCAGCGGTAGCAGCAGATCCAGCTCGGATGCTATCTGCAGGATGGGTGGAAGCAGCAGGATGGGTGGAAGCAGCAGGATGGGTGGAAGCAGTAGCATGGATGGAAGGGGCAGCAGGGGAGGCAGGGTGGTAGCACGGCTCCCCCAGCAGCATCTCTCGCAGACATGCCACCAGATTGACTCCCCCTGGCCATGCCTTCAGATACGCCGGCTCCTCCCCCTTCTCGCCCTTCTTCTCACAGCCGCCGCCGCTGCTGCTGCTGCTGCCCTTGTTGCTGCTCCCCATGGCAGACCTTTGCTGCCCCTGCAACCCCTCACAGTATCTCGGGATGATCGCCGCTGCAAGAGCCCACGTGATATCGAACCCCCCTGTAGGCCTCTCCCGCTCTCTGCTGCCGCTGCACTCCTCACTCCCTCCCTCAACCCTCAGGTTTGACATCCATGTCTTCATTGCTGCAAAGTACCATATTTCCACCTCTTCCCACACCTCACCATCCCAGCAGCCTTGCACCTTCACACTGCCACCTTTTCCCATTTCCGCCACTTCATTTTTTCGTGCACCTGACTGCACTCCCTGCCCTTTCTCACTGTACCCTCCCTCAGAACAAGCAAGATTCAGAAGAGGACGAGCGCACCACACTGCCATGTGAATGAGGAAGTACAGAGGCACTTGCTCCGCTCGTCTCAGCAGCATGTGCAGGTTCAACGGCCTGGGCAGGCGTGCGGGGAGGTCCAGACACTCAACCAGCTTGTCGAAGCCAGGGGAGGAGGGAGGGAAGACCGAGAGCAAGCGGGAGAACAGATGGCTGACGGGGCAGTAAGCAAAGTTGACAATGAGAGCAGCCATGCACACGGATTGCATGAATTCCGCAGAGCAGGTGCTGCACTGGGTGCAGGCAGGAGGGTGCATGACATACCCGGCAAACCCCACCAGGAAGTCCACATCTGCCTCGCAGCGAACAATAGGAAGCTTCCTTCTCGGGGGTGGCAGTGTTACTCTCTGCTCGTCGTTCCCAGATGCTTTGGCTCTTCCACGCGCTCTGCTCTGTATGGATTCCTCCCAAGCTCCTTGCTCTATCGACTTGGACACTCTCCTCCTTGCACGCCTGCTGCCCTCTCCTGCTTCAGCTATCCCACGCGCCATGCTCCATTCTCCTTCTTGACTACCTCCTTGGCCTTCTGCAGGATGCCCAATCAGCTTCTCAGCTGCTTCACCACGCTCCTCCACTATCCCAAGCCCAAAACACCTCTCCTTTCGGTTCACAGGAAACTTCACAGCAGCTTCCTCGCCTGCAGGCCCACTCCTCCCACTCCAAAGCAATGCTGCTTCCCTCTAGAGGCTTCGGGATGGCGCCGAACCTGAGCAGAAGGCTAGGAAGGTCCCGAAGCGGATGGCGCATGGACCTGACCTTGCTCTGAGGGTCGTTTATGAAGCACTGTTTCTCCGAGATGAAATCTGAGCCGTAGACCCGGATCCACTGCAAGATGCAACCAACTCGATAGGTGAGTGCAGCAACCACCGGCTTTGTATTGACAGGCACAAGTCTAGAGTTTGAACCAGGCAGGGCCGCTCCTGCATCTGCCCCTTCTTCTCCATCCATCCCCTTTGTCTGCTTCAGGCAATGCAGCAGCCTCTTCCTGGCCACCTCAACAGCTGCATTTTCTACCTTCATCTTGTTCAAATTGTTCCCATCATGGAAGAACAACCATGCATCCATCCAGTGCTCTGGTTTAAATAACACTGTGGTGACAGCAAGGGCGAAATCGGTCGCATTTACACCACTCACATGCATACCCTTTGGAGCACTGCTTCTCCAACTGCTGCTGCCAGAACTGCTGATGCTGCTGCTGCTGCTGCTGTCCTCACTGCAGTGGCTGCACCAGAACTCCCTCCCTTCCCCCCCACCATGTTCCAGAATCCACTTCATGCCATCCACATACCTCTCCCACACACGTCCCTTCAGATGCGCCCTCCACTTCACGTCCTTTCGTGCCCTCCCCCACACGCCAACAACCCCATCCATCTCTACCTTGCTCCCTGCCTCTTCCTCTCCGTGTCTCCCATCCTCCCTCCCAGGTGAAGCCTCGCACATGCCCTTCGCCCCCCCATACGTCTTCTCGACAGCCTTCTCCTCAGCCAACCCCATCCCCTTCCCCTTCCCATGCACCTTCTCAGCAGCCTTGCCCCCACCTCCCCCCCTCCCCTGTGCATGCGCCATCTCCAGCCCGCCTGACAGCAGTTGCTGCACAAAGAACCCAAACCTTTCCTTTAGATCAGCACTCTCCTTCACCCCCAGCACCTGCACCAGCATGGACGCAAAATTGTCAATCTCCCCCTGCCTGCTCCCCCCCAGCTCAGTGACAATTGCTGGCCAGGCAGACGAAGACGAGACCAAATGAGCTTTCCACAGAGTCACAAGGTGAGGGGATCTCGCTACAAGCACAAGGAACGTTGAGACATTGACAGCACGGCGGTAGGCAGCCCAGCAGCCGCTGCAGCGCCAGCAGCAGGACCACACTGGAGAAGCAGCAGGAGCAGGAGGAGCAGCAGGAACAGCAGGGGCAGCAGCAGGGGCAGGAGGAGCAGCAGGAAGAGCAGGAGCAGCAGCAAGGGCAGCAACAGGGGCAGCAACAGGGGCAGCTGGAGCAGCTGTTGCATCCAGGATAGCAGGCAGACGAGATCTGATCTTCTGCAGGTTCATGAGCACACCCACACAAGGCTCAGCCATCCACTCGAGAAACATCCGTTCTGCGCAAAGGCGAGGCGCCCTCTCGGGCTTCCACACAAATAGCACCTGAGGAGACATTGCATGATGCTGCTGCTGCTTGGGGTCTGCTGCGGGGATGCAACGAGGCTGCTGCACGCGCAGGTGGCGACGCAAGTCCTCCAGGTTCTTTATGGCAAGAGCTCGCTGGCTCACTGCACGCTAAAAGCAGCATTCACGCAGATCCTCATCCCACCCGCCCGTCACGTTCAAGTAGTGAACCATGTCCAGCCTAGACAGCAGCTGAAGTGGCTTTGAACGTTCCTCCACTATTGCTCTCCCTGCTGCTCCTCCGGTTGCCCCGGTGGGCTGTCCCGCTCCATCCGGGTCATTCTGGACTGCATAACCGTGTGCGCTTTGCAACACCCCAGGATTTCTCATCCCCAATTTCACAGTGAACTGCAACAAGCGTGCTTCTTTCGCGTCATAATCTTGTCTTCTTCCTCTACCGCCTTCTCTGCTTCCCCTCTGTTTGCGGCAGTGAATTGACCTTGTCCACCCTGCTGGTACTGTCCTGCCCCCAGCAAGGCATCCAGCCACTCTTCCAAATTTTGAAGCTCTAACCACTGCTCATGTTTGGCAGCGCCTACCTTCCCCACTTCCTTGGCCTTGCTACTGCCAGCATCAGAATCACTGGAATTCAGCTCTGCTCCGCCAGTTCCTGTCGGGGCTCCTCTCATTGGCTTGTGCCTCTCGTCTTCCTTGGTACTAGGCATGATGGGATCCAGTTGGGTGAAATAACCAACAAACGAAGTGAGAGGGAACGAAGGACGACGCACACCAGTAGTTGATTCAACTCCAGGAGCTTCCCTGAACGGATCAGATTTCGTCTCGCCCTTACCCATGCACTTTTTCTAGTGCGGACTCGTTGCTGGTTGTACCTGCACTGAGCTTGATTTGCTCAATTATCAAGCCAGAAAATGGCAAACTTGCTGCTCAAGAGTCACGAACGAGCCTGTTGCTCCAAATTTGTGAAAGTTTGCTCTGCCGCTTCATCATGGTCTAAATGCTGCTGACGTCTCGCATGGCAGGCAGCAGTAGTGCAGGTGGGACTGAAACAGTCGGTTGCAAACCGAGAACAGAAGTTCCTCAGGAGCATCAGTAAGAGACACCTACCTGTGCTCCGTTCGTCTTAGATTCCGAAGCTATTGGTACCAAATGGACTTCATTCGTGACGTGACGCATCCTGCGGACTCGCCGAAATTGATCTCGCCAAAAGCCCATGACGGGAGATGCAGGATTCAAATCAAGTTGCTAGTTTCCAGTTGAAGTAGAAACTTGCTAATTCAAATCTGTCGGTTTCACTGGAACGGAAACGGCCGGTTATACGCTCTCTCAGTCCCTGACTGAAGTTCAACGAGACTCTGATTGCCGAGTAAGCTGAAGCTGTGAGACCAATCAGATTTTGTCATCGGCCGAATTCCCCACCCATGCGACGCTTTGCGATTCATGCGACACTGTGCGACGCGTTCTCATTGCCCCAGGCAAGCGAGGCTCCGTCAACTGTGACCATCGTTCTGGAGAAGCATCAATCACGTTTAGTCTCATGGGGTAGAAAAGTGCTGGACAGTTCATTCTGATCGCATACGCTCCTGGCATCCCACCGTGGATGCGTCCTCTGAACACGTTGGATGTTGCCATGGGGAAGCCAAGTCCAATGAAGATGTGACTGGAAAGTGCGATCCAACCGTCCGTTTCCGCAAAAGACTAACTTTCCGCAAAAGACTAACAAGAGGGGCAGCGTGCTGACGTGCGATGTCGGTCGTTGCTGGTACAAACTTTCGAAGAAGGCTCACGTGGAAGGCGTCATGAATGCGCCAGTCGTCGGGTAGCAACAGCTTCGCGGTGACAGGTGTCACCATCTTGAGAATCTTGAACGGTATGCAAAATCGTGGCCGTAATTTTGATGGACTGGGCAGGCGCAGGTTCGTCGTGTCAAGTAGCACTAGTTGCCCAGTTGTCAAGACGAGTTCTCGTCGTAGAAGGTTGGTGTATTTGCGGGAAGGAATATTCGCCTTGCGAATTGCGTCTGCGGCTTTTTCTCGGACTTCCTGAAGTTCCGTCACGAAAGTCTGTGACCTCGGGACCGGATTGTCGAGAGTATTTGCCGTAGGAACTGTCGGGCCCATCCCGTAATTTAGGAGAAATGGGGAGTGATTAGTCGTGCTGGACGGTGCGTTGTTGAAAGCGAATTCCAACATCGCAAGCGAGTCTTCCCTGCGGGCAGGGTCGGGGAAGTTTGTCTTTATTAGCTGCTCCATGGTCTGATTGGTCCGCTCGGTTTGACCGTCCGTTTGTGGGTGATATGCCAATGAGAACTGTAGCTTCGTGCCGTACTGCGCCCACGTCTCCTTCCAGAACTTGGATGTGAACTTCGGGTCTCGGTCGCTGATGATCGCCGAAGGGATGCCGTGCAGTCGCACGACTGTGGAGATGAAGAGGCGCGCAGTTTCTTCGGCTGTGATTGTCGTTCGGCATGGTGCGAAGTGTGCCATTTTCGTGAAGCAGTCGACGACGACGAGAACAGCGTCGTTGCCGGACGGCCCAGCTGGCATCCCCGTGATGAAATCCATTGTCACTTGCTGCCACGGTCGTTCGGGTGGCTCGAGGGGTTGCAGCAGCCCAGCTGGTCGCTGACGTGTCGATTTCATAGCTTGGCACACCCTGCAAGAGGACACATAGCGCTGCACGTCGTTAGATGAATCAGGCCAGTAATATTGACGGTGCAGTAGTTTCTGGGTTTTATCAACCCCGAAGTGTCCGGAGAAGTTCGAATCATGGATTTCCTGGATGAGAAGTTCACGCAGCAGTCGGTAAGCGGGAACCCAAATCCGGTCGGTTCCGGCTTTTAGGTAATAGTCCCCTTTCTGCGTCGTAGCCTGCTGATGATTTCCCGTCGTGAAGAATGGGTCCGTCGTGTAGCCGTGGGTAAATAGTCCGGTAAGTAACGGGTTCGAGTGGGTGATGAGTACTGCAGCGGATTATACTATCGGTTGGGTCAGGGCGTCGGCGATGTTATTAGCCCCTTTTTTGTACGTGATGCGGTAGGTGAAGTGGCTCTCCATGTAGTCCAGCCACCGAACCTGTCGTGGGTTGAGGTTATCAGAATCCCAACCACTAGACCATTGGGATAAAAGGGCTTGTTTCATTAGCGGGTCAGAGTGCGCCCATAACCCCCCAGGCAAACGCGCCTGTAACCCCCCGTAGGATCAATCGGGCATCCACAGTGCAGATCTACTGACACCCCCCCACACTGGGAGGCGCAGGACTGAGCACAGCGGCAACGGCCTACATGTGCATACACCGAGATTCGAACCCGAGACCACTCTGACACCATGTCAGAATCCCAGTCACTAGACCATTGGGATAGAAGGGCTTGTTTCAGTAGCGAGTCAATGCGCCCATAACCCCCTAGGCAAACGCGCCTGTAACCCCCCGTAGGATCAATCGGGCATCCACAGTGCAGATCTACTGACACCCCCCCACATTGGGAGGCCCAGGACTGAGCACAGCGGCAACGGCCTACATGTGCATACACCGGGATTCGAACCCGAGACCACTCTGACACCATGTCAGAATCCCAGTCACTAGACCATTGGGATAGAAGGGCTTGTTTCAGTAGCGAGTCAATGCGCCCATAACCCCCCAGGCAAACGCGCCTGTAACCCCCCGTAGGATCAATCGGGCATCCACAGTGCAGATCTACTGACAGAGGTTGGGTTGGTCTCGCAGGTACTGTAGGGACTTGTGGTTCGTGCGAACAATGACGTCGGCGCCCACCAGGTAGCATCGCCATAATTTAAACGCGTGTATTATGGCGAGCATCTCCTTGTCGTGGATCGGGTAGTTGCGTTCGGCTGCTTGTAGCTTGCGTGATTCGTAGGCTATTGGCTGCAACCCAGTTTCCGAAGTCTTGGAGAAGCACAGCTCCAATGGCGAAATCTGAGGCGTCGGTTACAACTTCGAACGGCTTCGATGGGTTGGCGATGCGCAGCATAGGAGGGGAAACGAGGAAATTCTTGAGTTCCTGGAAAGCCGCTTCTGCCTCCTCCCCCCACACAAAATTCTTGTCCTTGTGCAGCAGGTCGGTCAACGGGCCGGTTATCCTCGCCATATTCGGGATAAACCGCCGGACGTAATTTACGAATCCGAGAAACTTTCGAGTTCCGTGACGTTCGTCGGGGACTTCCACTCCTGGATGGTCTTGATTTTCGCCGGGTTGATTTTAATGCCGTCGCGCGAGATGACGTGCCCCAAAAACTCCAACTCCTGCTCAAAAAACTCGCACTTAGAGCCCTTGGTGATGAGTCGGTTCTCCTGCAGCCGCTTAAACACTGCATCCAGGTCGCGGAGGTGCTGCTCCCGTATCTTGCTGAAAATGAGGATATCGTCCAAATAGACGATGACACACCGGTCTAGAAGATCCCGAAAAACCCTGTTCATGGTCAGTTGAAAAGTCGAAGGCACATTCGTGAGGCCGAAAGGCATCACTGTAAATTCGTAACTCCCCTAGCGTGTGCGAAACGCAGTCTTGTGACAATCGTCAGCGAAGACTCGAATCTGGTGGTAACCGCCACATAAGTCAATTTTCGAGAAATATCGAGCGCCGCAAAGTTGGTCGAGGAGGTCGTCGGTGCGTGGGATTGGGTAGCAAGACTTGATGGTGACCCGGTTCAGCGTGCGATAGTCGATACACATGCGAAGCCCGCCGTCCTTCTTCGGGCTGAACAGGATCGGTGCTGCGAAGGGAGATGTGCTGGCCCGAATGAACCCTTTCTCCAACAGTGCGTCAATTTGACTTCGCAGTTCCTTGAGTTCCGGCTGGGTCAACCGCCACTGTGTCCGAACAGTCGGCTGCGCGCCAGGTTCCAGCTGGATTTTGTGGTCCTCATGTCTCTTTGGTGGTAGTCCAGGTGGCAGGTCGTCGGGGAAAATGTCCGGGTACCTCCGAATCAGCTCCGCTAAATCCGGTGGTACAGCTGCACACAGCTTCTTGATGTCCTTTCCTTCGGTGTCAACCGCCAACTCGCGTAAACAAACAGCGAACAGTTGCGCGCCTCTGTTGAAGTGGCGAATATAGTGATAGCTTTGACGCACGGGGCTTGGATGTAGTCAGGCGTCCATGCAGGCAGTTTAATTAGCCCCTCGTGCTTTTTGATGCTGCATGATCCCGTTGTCCAGTCGATGACGGGGTTGTGCCGTCGCAGCCAATCACGTCCCAGCAGCACGTCGCAACCGTCCAATGTTGTCGCGAGAAACTTCATGCTGAAGCCGAAATCGTCGCCGCATTCGATCCTAACCGTCCGTGTTTCTTCCGTTATTGCCAGAGGCGTCCTATCCACGAGGCGGGCGTCAATTTCGGGCAGACACCTGTCAAGTTGCAGCTTGCATTTTTTTGCGCTCGCCAAGTTGAAGAGGCTATGGCTGGCCCCTCCATCGACGAACATTTTCAAGTTATTTTTTAACACCTTGCCAGCGACCAGCACAGGGTGATCCACATGTGTATCGCCGTTATTCGGCCGAGTGCGATCGATTGCATGAATCAGAACCACGAATAGGTGAGGATGGTGGGGTTCAGGCGACGGAGCAAAGTCAGTAAAGGGCCCGCTAATTACTGACTCTTCCCATTTCTCTGCTCCTTCCTGTCGTTCCCTGTGAGCGGCGTTTTCTCGTGGCAGTC